CATTTTGCTCTGTTGCATCTTCTTTTTCAGCGAGAAGTTAGACGTGCGTGTGCACGACCGTGAGATGCTCCCGCTCACATATCACCAGCACCCTGTCACTTTAGAACGGGGTCACCTGTCGTGCCCTCTCGCGCTCAACTCGGATGGAGTGTCCTTTTCTAAAAAAGATTCGTTCATATGTTATGATCACTCTTGCCGCCTGATTCCAAGTGTGCGTTATTTGATCAGCACGATCAGAAAATCAGACCTGTGTGCTTGCGGTTGCCAATGGTGGTGCACTATTGGCACCGTTCACCGCATTTTATCGCGGTCGTTTACGACCCTCGCCAAGGGCGTCTGGCCCTCTGTGGATCACAACGGCGACCTTTTAACTGACGAGATGCGATCGACGCATCGTGAATTTGAGCTCGCAGAAGGCATGCGCGGAGCACTGTGTGAATATCGAGCCGATTTGCTCTCGCTGGTTACCAGCTTGGGCTTTAAGAATTGGCAGAACATGCAACGCCCCTGCATCTGCTGCATGTCATCACGCGGTGACCTTTATAACTTTGACCGCACTGTTGCGGACTGCCGCTGGCAGCAGCGCACCGCTGCCACATGCCGCGCAGAAGTTGGGCGGACAATGGCCCGCCGCATGGTCAGTTCACGACCTCTCTTGCGGCGGCTCAGCCGCAACATGGAATTCGATAGCACCAAGCGTGGCTTGCTGCTCAAGGAAGATTTCCTGCAGCTCATGCTGAAAAAAGGAGACCGCCTTATGGAGAATGAGAGCGTGGGCGATATACACGCCTTCGTTGACATTGAGCTTCCTGCTAGGTTGTTGTGTTTTTACTTAACAGCTTGTTCTGATAGGTTTCTAGTAGGGTCAAAAGAGAGCAGCAGATGACTCCACAGGGGGGTCTGGGCGGGTGCCGGACAGGGTGCCGCAGAACTCGTTTTAAACCAACAGTCACACGCTTAACGTCTGTTCCTGCCAACGGGGCTTCTGTTCCTGCCAACGGGGCTTTGGAAATCAGCCCCCTGCGGTGATGGATCCTGATGATGGTGGTGATGATCATGACGATGGTGATGGCATTGGACGAGGGCGATGATGATGATGATGATGATGATGATGATGATGATGATGGTGACGATGGTGTGGAGGGTGATGGTGGTGTTGGTGTCGGTGGTGAAGAAGATGATGATGATGGTGATGATGATGATGGTGATGATCATGATGAGCCCGTCATCATCAGTACCACCACCCTCCTCATCGTCATCGTCGTCGTCATCGGGGGAAGAGGGGGGGATGATCAGGAAGAGCATGGAAGGGGAGGAAGTCCACTGGAGGGAGAGCATGGTGAGATGCTGTTTCGAGGTCCACTGGCTTTGGGCGCCAGCGCCCGTCAGCGGGGCCACCGCGAATTGGGGGGTTCGCAATCCCCTCCTGGTCGGCGACGACGACGACGACGACGACGACGACGACGACGACGACGACGACGACGACAGTCGGTCCCAAATCGGTTCAAACTCGGTCCCCAGACCCCTGCCAGGGTGCATTCGGATCAGTTTCCCGTCCGGGATCGACTTCTGGGGGCCCCGGAGTCCGAAGCCGGCCTTCACAAGCCGAAGTCGAGGATCAATCCCCTGAACCGATGATCGCTGACACTGGTGTCCGTTTGCAATCTTTTGCTGGCCTGGCCACGTCGGGCCCGTAGCCTCGGCTGTGCGTGCGTCGAGAGCTCCGAATCCCCAATAGGTGCATACGGGAGCTGGGAATCCCCAGTCGTCGTCGTCGTCGTCGTCGTCGTCGTCGTCGTCGTCGTCGTCGTCGTCGGTTCCGCCGTCGCCGTCGCCGCGCGGTCGCCGATCCGTGTCAGAACGTGTCAGAACTAGAATGGATGGTGATTGTTCGCCGTTTCGCGTCCGTCGTCGTCGTCGTCGTCGTCGTCGGCGTCGGCGTCGGCGTCGGAGTCGGCGTCGGCGTCGGCGTCGGCGTCGGCGTCGGCGTCGGCGTCGGCGTCGGCGTCGGCGTCGGCGTCGGCGTCTGCGTCGGCGTCGGCGTCGGCGTCGGCGTCGGCGTCGGCGTCATCCTCGTCGGCGTCTGCGTCGGCGTCGGCGTCGGCGTCGGCGTCGGCGTCGTCCTCGTCGTCGTCGGCGGCGGCGTCGTCGTCGTAGCCGTCGCCGCTGCCATGCACGTCGCCGTCGCCGTCGCCGTGCCCGCTGCCGCCGTCGCCGCCGCCGTCGTCGTCGTCGTCGTCGCAGTCGGTGCCGCAGTCGCCGCCGCCGCCGTCGTCGTCGCCGTCGCCGCCGCCATCGTCGCCCACGCTGCCGTCGTCGCCGCCCGCCGCCGTCGCCGCCGCCGCCGTCGTCGCCGCCGCCACCGCCGCTGTCGCCGTCGTCGTCGCCGCCGCCGTCGTCGCCGCCGCCCCCGCCCCCCGCCCGCCGCCGCCGTCGCCGCCGCCGCCTTTCCCGCCGCCTCCAGGGCCTGCGGGCCCCAGCCTCAAAATGGGCCCCCGGACCCTTTCGGGGTCCAAGCGCAAAAGTTTTTCGAGCTGCGCCCGACCGCGGCGACGAGGGGGGCCCCAGGGCCAGGAAGCCTCGAACCTCGATCCGCGAGAGTCGAACTTCGAACCTCGGCGTGCATCCCCTTTTCAAAGTCAACGAAATCCGCGCAAAATCGGTGCCCAGAACCCTCCTGGGGTGCATCCGACGCAGTTTGTTGGTCCCGGATCGATTGTGCGACGGTCCCAGGGCCGAAAACTTCCTCGAACCTCGATGCCCGCCGCCGTGCCTGTCTTCCCCGCCCGTTGGTTCGCGGCGCCCTGGCGCCGCGTTGCCCCCGCGGCAACCCTCCATGCGGGCCGAGCGCCCGAGCGTCGTGTCGCCCTCCGGGGGTGGCACGACGCTCGGGCGTCGTCGTCGTCGTCGTCGTCGTCATCGTCGTCGTCGTCGTCGTGGTCGTCGTCGTCGTCGTCGTCGCCGCCGCGTCGTCGTCGTCGTCGTCGTCGCGTCGAGCGGGCCAGCGGGGCGACGAGGCCTCGTCGCACCGCGAACAAGAGGTTCGGCCGTTTTCGGCCTCCGGGGGCCCTCAGAGGGCCCCAGGGCCGTGACCCAAAAACGACTTGGAAGGAAGAGCACCTCGCCGCGCCGCGAACGAAAATCATGACGGGAGGTTTTCAGCCGCTTTCGGATTCCGAAGGCTCCTTACCTGGCCTTGGGACCGTCAGCAGAACCGGCTGGGACGGAAACCCCCTCCCCCGCGGGCTCCTGGGAGGGGGTGGCCGGGGGTGGCGGCAACGCGACCCCTGAGGATCCGAGACGGCCCACGAGAACCCCAAAGTGGCTCGGGCTCGGGAATGGATGCTCAGGACGGACGAGGGAAGCGTGGCGGAGGATGAGGAGGACAAGAGGGGAGGGAGGAGAAGGTGGAGGAAGAGAAGGAGCGGGAGATTGAAGCGGGGAGGAAAGGGAGGATGAGGAGGAGCAGGGATCTTCTTCGAGGAGGTGGCGTCGAGCAGGAGGAGGAGGAGGAAGAGGAGGAGGAGGGAGGGATGATGATGATGATGATGATGGTGACGATGCGGACGATGATGACGATGACGACGGCGACGACGACGATGATGATGATAATGGTGATGATGTCCGCGTGCCCAGCTAAATTTATAGCGGGTGCAAAGTGCGCGTATTGCTGACATATCTTCAAAGTTGATGTATACTAGGCTCCGGCTTACATGTGTACATATACACAGATGTACAAACGTATTTCTATGCATGTATATACACATATACGTACGTAAAACGTGGGCAGGCCCGTCCGTTCAAGTACACGCATACATATACATGCACTGCCATGGACAAAGTCTGCCAATCCGCGCGCGCACAATCATATGCACACATATGTGTAAGCATACCACAACACTCATACAGTAGGTTCGCGTCGTGTCGACCGGCGGCGACCCCGCCGCCGGCGTTCAACGTTGAGCGCCGGCGGCGGCCCAGAATCGCTCGACGTCGAAAGATCAGTCGTTGGGGGAACCGCCGATCGTTCAAGGTTGAACGATCCACGCGGTGTCGGCAACCAACGCCGGGGTCGACGCGACGCGGACCTGCCTTCTACATCTAAGTGTGTGCGCACACACATTCGCACATTCATTCACA